ATTTCGTCGAAGCACCGGAAGTGACTGAAAAATTGCGATAACATGTGAATAATAAATGACATTTGCCAATTCTTTCTTCTGCCGATAGTTGCACCTGAAATCAGGACGAATTCAACGACCTGTATAAAGCGGTATTTAGGTCTTCAAACATTACTCGAATCGTCGTGAACAGTTTAATATACACGAACGATGTTTCTTATTGAGAAAATTTAAATAATTCCCTTCCGCGCGATATAAAATCGCTGTTTACACGCTTCGCACGCGAGATTGTCAAATATTTTGCTGTACAACACTAAGATGCAGGTCGGTAGCTTGCATAAAAGGATATTACTTTGTATTTTCAAGGAGACGTCCTCCTCTTTATTGCATATTTTTCTTTAGTGCACCGCATATTTCAGAAATTTTCAATTTAATGTCTATTGCGTCGACGGTTTTCATCGGGATGCAACTCCAATAAGTAAATAATACATCAGAATGCATTTTATCGGATTTCGTAATACATCCTGAATCTTTAATGACCGTCGCAAAATTTTAACATCCGGGCCCCCATAAAATTGAAACATCGCTAAGTTATAACCACGAGGGGTTGTCTGTCTTTGAAGTCCTGCAGCTCCGCGTAAAAAAATCGTAAAATATCCTCCCTGCGCTCGTCTTAGAGGGTGAAGTCTCCTCTTTCGAGCCCTCGATGTTAATTTTAACAAAGGCTCTTTTTTTCATTATATAACGAAGGGTGAAACCGAAGCAGGTACTCTCATTCGCAATTCGTAAATTCGAACGATTCTTTCCAATTCGATTCTACATACCGAGTCTGGACAATTTTTTTTCATGATCCGCTTAGCTTGAACTCGCGAAGGGAAGTCTCCGTTTTACGATGACCACTCGAAAGTCTGTCTGCGATTTTCCTACACCGTTTTATCGAGCTTCGAACGAACGCTACTTTCTACTGTAATAATTATGACTAAAATTGAAATAACTCGAACAATAATAAAGTTTTCGAGTTGAAATTTTTATTGCAGTTCGTATACACGATTGTAGAACCGAATTGGGAATGGATTTTTCAATCCGATTTTTTCTCCACACAAACAAAAATTTGATTATTATCAAAAAGAGAATTAGTTGGTAAAATAATTTACACGTAATTCGAATCGGCGTAGAAAACGCCATCGATATGCATATCTCCAAAATTATATCTGGAAAATTACTGGTGGTTGACTCACGCCTGAATGCACTCCCTTAATCCTGGACGGGGCGCGTCAGTTAAAGTTACATAAAGCGGCGCGTGGGGTGCTCGACACCCCACTCAAACTGAGTGGAATCCAAGCCATAAAGTAACTGTTAGTGAACCGTCTTAATTAAAAGCTAATGCAGCTGTCGACAGCTAGGTAACACCGCTTAATATTTCGCTAAAGAATAACGAAACCTCGGTTGTAAAACAAATGGCTGGGGCGTCGATCGTTCCGGTTTCATCCAACATCGGATGTCCGAGCATTGGCGATGTCTAAAAAATTCGCGGCTCGACCTGAAACATACAGGCATCCGAAACAAGTAGTTTCCGCGGCGATAATTAATTCCGCGTCGCGTTACCCCCGGCCGATCGCCACAATGCAGCTCATTTCCTTTTGTTTCGCGCGGCGGGCCAAACAATTCGGCCGACATTACTTCGTCCGTTACTTCATTGTCCGACGACTGTATCGTCTCGTTCCAGGCCTTCGGGCACGATAACTTTANCCCCCATAAAATTGAAACATCGCTAAGTTATAACCACGAGGGGTTGTCTGTCTTTGAAGTCCTGCAGCTCCGCGTAAAAAAATCGTAAAATATCCTCCCTGCGCTCGTCTTAGAGGGTGAAGTCTCCTCTTTCGAGCCCTCGATGTTAATTTTAACAAAGGCTCTTTTTTTCATTATATAACGAAGGGTGAAACCGAAGCAGGTACTCTCATTCGCAATTCGTAAATTCGAACGATTCTTTCCAATTCGATTCTACATACCGAGTCTGGACAATTTTTTTTCATGATCCGCTTAGCTTGAACTCGCGAAGGGAAGTCTCCGTTTTACGATGACCACTCGAAAGTCTGTCTGCGATTTTCCTACACCGTTTTATCGAGCTTCGAACGAACGCTACTTTCTACTGTAATAATTATGACTAAAATTGAAATAACTCGAACAATAATAAAGTTTTCGAGTTGAAATTTTTATTGCAGTTCGTATACACGATTGTAGAACCGAATTGGGAATGGATTTTTCAATCCGATTTTTTCTCCACACAAACAAAAATTTGATTATTATCAAAAAGAGAATTAGTTGGTAAAATAATTTACACGTAATTCGAATCGGCGTAGAAAACGCCATCGATATGCATATCTCCAAAATTATATCTGGAAAATTACTGGTGGTTGACTCACGCCTGAATGCACTCCCTTAATCCTGGACGGGGCGCGTCAGTTAAAGTTACATAAAGCGGCGCGTGGGGTGCTCGACACCCCACTCAAACTGAGTGGAATCCAAGCCATAAAGTAACTGTTAGTGAACCGTCTTAATTAAAAGCTAATGCAGCTGTCGACAGCTAGGTAACACCGCTTAATATTTCGCTAAAGAATAACGAAACCTCGGTTGTAAAACAAATGGCTGGGGCGTCGATCGTTCCGGTTTCATCCAACATCGGATGTCCGAGCATTGGCGATGTCTAAAAAATTCGCGGCTCGACCTGAAACATACAGGCATCCGAAACAAGTAGTTTCCGCGGCGATAATTAATTCCGCGTCGCGTTACCCCCGGCCGATCGCCACAATGCAGCTCATTTCCTTTTGTTTCGCGCGGCGGGCCAAACAATTCGGCCGACATTACTTCGTCCGTTACTTCATTGTCCGACGACTGTATCGTCTCGTTCCAGGCCTTCGGGCACGATAACTTTACGTTCGTTCCCGCGATTAAACCGGCCAGGAATGGCCGCGTGTTTCGGCAATTGGTTGCCGCGTGTGCCGGCCCGCTATCTGTGGCCGGGGCTTTAAACGCGCGACCATAAACGCCGGCTCGCAGCCATTCCGAGGAGAACATGCACGGCTCTTCGATGCACTCGCCGACCATTATTAGCACGCGAATCGACGGGGACTCTGCGGATAATAATATTAATTGGCGTCGCGCCGCTTCGCTCGACAATTTTTCGACGGCCCCGTAAAATTTCGCCCGCCAGCAATCGAAAATCGGACTGCGTTTTGTGTCCGATCTTATCGCCGTACGGTGGACCGTACGGACATATAACGATTCCGGAATAATGACAGGTTCATCTTGGTGGGTTCTCGTTCATTTTTGTAATTTAAATCGATTTTTTTCGAAGTCCTGCAGCGTTAGAAAAAACTATGCGATCGGATTTGAAATCAGCGGGTCAAAGTCTACGGGAGCAGATGTGTAACGAGTCGTAAAAAGATTCGATTGAACGTGGTATTGGATAAGTAACAATTTTGTTGGAATATTTCTAGTTTGATACAAATATTCTGACGTGTCGATTCATTTCTTCGCAGCGCGACCTCTTAGTTAAATCTGTACTTTACCTCCAGATAAATATTTTGTAAAATATTCTTACGCACTATAAAATGCCAGGAGCACTACATCCGAGCACGGTTGATTGAGGTAGTTCGATGTATTTATAGTGGCGTGGCAGAAGCATCGATCACGCGCGAACGCGAACTATAAAAATATTTTCGACTCGTGGTGAAACGGTTCGAACGTTACCGATGTTCTGCACTCAAATAAGAAAATATTTCACAAATTCTTCATCGAAGCGCGACGCGAATACAAAATTTTGCTGATACTTCGAAAGCGAGAACGAAAATCTCGTCGACATGAGAAAAATTTGTCTGCTCGACGAGAGCCCGGAATTTTCGAATCAAATTTGTCGAGGACGGAGTTGGCGATAATTTATCGTCACTTGCGGGACATCATGATCTCGTTGCTCGGTATTAAAACATCCCTCAAACTCGACTCGCAATCAGGAAAAGCGAAAGAACCTCAAATTCCATTATCAAGTTCTCTATCCGCCATTGAAATTGAAAGCCGACCAGAAGGGGGTGTCCTCGATAATCGGCCCTTTCATCGATCCTCGGGCGTCAGCCGTTGAATCTTCACTCGCTTACGGCCCGAGCGAATTATCACTCGGCGATCGTTCATTATTCACCCGGTCCCCGGCTTAATACCACTTTTGTGCCGGCGGAATTTCACGGTCATTAATCAGATGCAAAAGTGCGAGTGGATCGGTTCAAGTAACCGTTCGAATCGCGCGGATAATTAATTTCGTATCAATTACACGATTAATCATCGTTAGATCATTATTAAGGCTCGGTGGGACTAGAAAGGAGCACTGTCACAGGCAGCGTTCACAGAAAAATAAGTTACGCAAGGAGTGAGATAAGCGACGCATGCTCCGGGAGTCCCGTACAGTGGCGTGGCGCGCCACATTTTAATTTCGAACTCGAATTTTGAATCGACGCCGTTCGATTTATTTTTAACGAAGCCGAGAAGAACGATCGGAATTGTTGCGGGTGAGAATGAGAGAGAAGAGAGGGAGAGAAATATTATATTTTAGGGGAAAATAATTGCTCCTTCGACACGATCCGCGGCCAGTTCCTTGATGCTTCTATTATTCAGTGGCTGGGGGAGGCTAATTAAAATCGATAGTCGTAGGTAATTAGTTCGTCGGCGAGCAGCTGCCGCGAATTTTACAACCTGTACAAAGTTGGGCCAAAGTTTCGCCTCTCTATTTCGTGATACATATGTTGCTAAACTACGGATTCTATCCATTTAGGTATGACAAAGAACGAATAGATTAAATAAAAAACGAAAATGCCATTAGAAGAATTTGAGGATATTTTTACGCTCTTTTCAACTTGTCACGATTGTTGAAACAGAAAAGATACTTTCCGTCGCGAAATTAGTTTAGTAAAATGTTTACACATGCAGATCACAAGGCCGCCTACGGCGGTCTGTTGGATTATTTTTATACGCACCTGAACTTCTAAGGCATGGTAAGCAAGTATGAGGCCAATCAGTATCACAGTAGACACAGTGATCAGGGTTTTCAATGCTGTCGAGTAAAACGAGGCCTGCAACAGAAAACATCGTCCAACGTGAACATCTCGGCTCTGCGATGATACATGCATATTGTCCTTATGCTACCGTCACTTAAATTTACATTGTCCCTGCCACAACAGGTAAACAGACATGGTAGTCCCGAGTTTTACCAACCTCTCTTAAACCGGACGAATTTATGGTCGATGGCAAGAATAAAAGAAAATGTCAGATAAAAGATTTGCATATTATTTCCTGTTCTTCAATTGTTCATTTTGTACATATTTAGAAAATTTGTTTCCGTATAAAATAACAACAAATGAAACGTGTAGGATACTTGTATAAAATGTTTTAAAGTACGAATTCTTAAAAAAGGTAAGCGATGAGCCCGTCGAATAGGTTCGATTAGCTTCCGAAAAAAGTATGTAGGACAGAATTCTTATTCGAATGAATTTTTATTCGAATGAATTCTTATTCGAATAAATTTTGATCCCGGTACATTTTTATTCAGTCGAATATTAATTTGACAGCGTCGAATAAAATTGTATTCGTTGGTCTTCACCTTCTATCCGTCATTCGAATAAAATGCTGTTCAACTCTGGTTCAAACGAAACGCTAATAAACTTAAATGTGTTCCTTGCTTTAAATGGCACAGATTACATTATAATTGCATAAAATCCTCTGTCCAGTTATTAGCATGCCCCAAAAAGCACAATTGCGAGAACTTTCGAATCTTTTCCAAGAGCCACACTTCCCTCGTTTAAAGCGCGCTCGTTGACGCTCCGCCTTCGGTCATATCGTCGCTGAAGAATTTAAAAGTGATTAAAGCCGGCGTTTCCAATTGAGTCGACGACCGGCGCGAAAATTTCTTCGGCAACTTCCACCCACGGCCCCGGTTCATTAAGCGTGCCGGAGTAACTGCTGCCGAGAGTTTTCTCGCGCGTCGCCTAATTGCGTGCCTCTCGACGATCGCGTAGATTAGATCCAATGAAATATTCAACCGTCCGTGTCGACTTACTTATTGCCTGCCGGCTCGTAAAAGTCGAACGCCGCGATTTCGTCGGCGCCGTTAACCAGCGCCGATCGTAAATTCTCCCATGGTTTAACGATCCGATCGTTGGCCAGTTTTTGGGAATTTTTTGAACGAAAAATACCGGCTGTAAAGATATCGCTCGCGCTCGGCACAGCTATTTAATCACAATCGGAGAAGGTGGTATAAATTTTGTTCGAGGAATAAGATCTATCGTCCTCGAAGTTTTTGGTGAAAGAAAATTCGCGGAATGTGTAAGCAAGCTTTTGGAAATTCGTTGAAAGGAAGACACTGAATCGGTAGAAAAATTCTGTACTTGGTTTCGTAATATTTAACAGAATGTACTCAAATTGTGTCGAGCAGTAATAATAATAGTTTCCTTCAAAATTACAGTCATACTATATAAAATAGTATGAACTATATTTGAATTTCTCAGAACTGTTTTAAAATGCACCACAAACGATTGCAATAAATTCCAGAATCATGAGTGGTAATATCTGTCATGATACCCCAGTGTGGCCTAATTTTCTCTTCCATAAACCTATAGCAACTGTTTGTAATACTGTAGAACCTTGATTAACCGAACTGGATTTTTTTCGATATTTACTATTCATATTTTTGATTATTCCAAGTAATAGCGATGAAACTACAGAAGAATCTCGATCAAACCTCGACCTAACATCTTATCCTACTGTATTAATAATTAATCGAAAATAAAAAGAATTTAACCATGAATTTTGAATTCGGATAATCGAAGTTCTACTGTATCATATATTCCGTCCTGAAAAAGAGTGGCAACCTATCGATGTAATCTTTAAATCATATTGTAAACGCTACTGTAAATTCAATCTGCAAATTATCTCCATTGGAGGTAAAAATAGTGTTAAAATAAATCAAAAGGAATCATAATACTCCCAATAAAATCTGAAGGGATCACTATAGCGGAAAAGCAATAACGGTCATAAAACGGTCAAACTGACCAAATACTTCAGGAAATGTTTCCAAGCCGTCGAGCCATGAATGAAATTGGAAAAAGGCAACCTGATTTTATAAACTGTCAAACTAGAAAGGCCCCTAAAAAGGGAGTCGCTGCCGGGGGAAAGTAAACTTCCACGTCGCCCTTCCCGTTCTCCTAAATCCACGTACGTGCGACGAATGTTGCGGAAAAGAAACTTGGAAACGTACCCTCCTGGATTTACGAGAGAAACTTTTTTTTCCTTCGCGTTGCTCACCCTCGCCGAGGATTTTCATACTATTTTTTCGGCAACCCGAAATTACTGTTTCTCGCGTTCCTTGGGAACTATGGATCCTGCCATTTTCGAGAGAAATCCTGAACCGGTGGCTTTCGACCTTCCCTCCTTTCGAGAAGTTCAGACTCCGTGCGATATTGCCTTGCCACGGTTTTGTGGTTACAGGGCAAGTGTGTCAATTACTGTGGCCCATTTTATAGGTCTTGAGAAGTTCGAGTTATGTTTCGGTCATTTATTTATCTATTTATTTATACTCGATTGGACGGGCTTTAAAGCTCTATTGTACAATATAAATAGATAAGGACATAACAATAAAATAGAAAAAATATCGTTCACAATAAAATGTTTTTTAACTTAGATTAGGTTACAATCGGCTCTCAAAGCCACCAACGTAACTTAATCTAAGTTAACACTGTATTACAAATAGAAAAGTAGAAAAAGTGTAACGTACATAATAAGTATTTATATTTGATTTTTTTATTGTACTCCTGCGGTGTCCCAAAATTATGGCATGAAATGGAAAATTCGGGGTTCCTGAGGTCATTTGAAGTAACTTTTTCCTTAGCGAAGATGCAATTCGCGGCTTTGTTTACGAGTTATTAACGAAAAACACTGACCAATGAGAAGCGAGCTCGCCTAACGTTAAGCGACCCAGCCAATCAGCGGAACTGGACATCCACCGCTCGTTGACTCGGCTGCCATGCGCTAGCTGAGCTCGCCTCTCATTGGTCACTGTTTTTCGTTAATAACTCGGAAACGAAGCCGCGGATTGCAATTTCGTTAAGGAAAAAGTTACTTCAAATGATCTCAGGAATAATATTTTTCTTTTTATTTCTTCTTCTGTAACTGAAAGGATTTCTTTCTCGTATACATAAATAAATAAATAATAATTATTATTATTAAATTCAGTTGGGATCTTGAAAATCGCAGCGTACCATTGCAAAGTTCCAATAATACTGGCGCAATGTTTATCATTTCTCTGCGATGCAGCGTAAATGAAATTATTTTCGGTTCGAATGGCAATAGGTTCTCCATACTTTTATTTCCTCTTTTGATTGCTGATCGAGCCAGTATCCCGTAAGGTATTGTCACTCAGAGAATTGCGAAAGTTCCCGGTGTTTTCCGAGCCGGGGACGGGCTCCGCCGGGCAGCGGTTCAGATTATGCAAGTCTATTAAACGCGAGATTGAATCCGCGAGTCCGTTTACGGTTATTCATTCGGGTTTTATTCGGGATCGATCGATAGATACGACATTCGATCCCGAAGGCGGTTTCATTGCGTTCGATGCCTTTAAAGCCAGCCTCTACGCGACCTGGAACTGCTAACAGTATAATCCTCGTGGAGGACGGCCGGCATAAAATGGGTTATCAAATTCGGTGCTCGTCGAGCATGACTTCTCCTGGAGAATAAACAAGTTACGGCCGCCGTTTGCGTCCGCCGCGCTGAACGGCCAACGAAATCGATGGTCTATTTAGTTAAGAACCGTTCGCGATCGATAATCCGCCTGTCCGATCAGATTATGCTATTATTTATTCGAATTCCGCACGAGAATTAGCTGTTCGTTATCTCGAATTAAACGTGAACGACACGGATAAAGGTCGTAGATTGTCCGCGGCATGCGAACCGCCGGAGGAAACAGTCGATTCTCGAAATATGTACAATAAATAACGTTCGCATAACTTCTCGGCGTAATTTCTACGACGGAAGGATCCGAGAAAAACCGACGGCTGCTCGGATAGAGGGCCGAAATTAATGTTTCTCCGTCCGCGATCTCGAGTATGATACATCGGGGAGCTCGTTACCATAACCGCTCCTCGTTAGAGTATTCCCGTTCATTTTTCTACTTTTTTCGGCGGCCACTTGCTCGACGTCGCTTCTTCCCGGACTCCGACGTCCTCGATTTAATTGCAGAGAGAATACTCGACGCAGAGTGCTTCGAGTGATTCGAGGGCCCTTCGCCGCGGACCCAACAGTGCCTCGGCCTTCTCCTCCCGGAAATTTTCAGTGACCTTGAATTCTTATCGGCCGACGCGATTGTAAACGGGGACAGTTCCTTTATGGCGGATGGCTCCGTCGAATCGAACGGAATTAAACGCACGCTGTTCCTTCCGGTTAATTATGCCGTGCGCGAGGAAGTACGCGGAAAGTTAAGAACTAAGGCGAGCAGACACTGTTCCGATTTAATCGGACTGCGAGCGAGTGCTGCGCGCCCCGTGGCCAGATTTCGGTTTCGCGGTGGCGAACCTGCGGTACCTATAACAGCAGGCAGTCAGTTAATTAGTTACACTAAGAGGAATATAAATTAGCCGCAGAGGGACACGGCTCGCAACGTTCTGGCCCGACCTTTCCGTTAAATGACAGGACCGCGTCTCGCAGCGACGTTTCGGCGACCATGCGTTAACCGCAATGGCCCCTGAATCCATCAAAGTCCCCGAAACACTCCAATGATATTTCGATATTCAACAGATGGATTGAATTTCTATATAAATACTAAATAATAGTAAATAACAAGTATATAATAATAAGTAATAACAAATCATAAAATAATATTAATAACTAACAAATAATAACGAGTAATTAAATAATATTAATAAATAACAAATAAATAACAACAAAATAATAATAAATAATAATATCTTCTTGAATTATTTGTCTACAAATCGAGAAACTCTCACGTTATACTGGAGATTTTCTATTCACGAAAGTGTCAATTCATATAACAAATAATAACGAATAATTAAATAATATTAATAAA